GCTAACTAACTATCCTAGCTACCTGTTTCGGCAAGGAGACAACTTCTTCTCTTTAAGAAGTAGTCTTGAACCTCCTAACTCCACAGTGAGGCGGCTAAGGAAGTCCGTGGAGCTGTGCAAAAATTCCCTTCGCCTCAAAAGAATCGAGAAGATCATCATAGATAAACTGAGAAATAGTGCAAAAAACTTCCTTAGATGACATAATTAATGCAGCAGGAAGCGGTCGAAACAACAAAGGCAAAGTCGAGACAGTGTCCAAGGACACCGCCTTGGCAGAGAAATCTAAACAGTGGTGAGCGAAACTAACGAAGCTTGAGGAGCCACCAACAGTGTCTAAGGACACCGCAAGTGGAAACTTAAGAGAGGTCTCAACAAAGAACCCGAAATCAAGTAGAGTCTAAGACACCACTTGAGAGCAAGCAAAGGTTTGAAGGCAACTCGTATGATGTCTAAGGACACCACAGGAGTGAGAGCAAAATGTTTCTCAGCGAGGCACGAAACAAGCTATCTTACTTCGCGTACCCGCACGGAGACAACTTCTTCTCTTTAAGAAGTTGTCTTGGACCTCCTAGCTCAACAGATCATTACTGAGAGCTTTGAGCCGAGATGCTTGAGCCAAAAGGCCACGGAGAAAAAGAAACACTACGAAAATGACGTTGGTGGGCAATAAATTAAGGCAAAAGGATCGAAGGGCAGGCACTTTATGGTGCGGCACAAAAGCTTGCAGCAGTTGAACAAAGGCGGGAGGTGAAAGGCCTGTTGTGGCAGGCCTGTTCGAAGAGCAGTATAAAAAGAAGTGCTCATCGTGCTCGTCTTGATTTTTTTCCACGAGTACGGACGCCGTGTGGGCATGGTGCCCAGGTCATCGTTGAAGGAAGGGAAGAACAGTCAGATGGAGAAGAACAAAGACCCCCAAACCAAACCAAAAGCAAACACCCCAAGCCCAAGGCCGAGTCTCCACCATCTTGTAGTCTTCCTCTGTGCCAGGTGAAACGAGTGAAACGAAAACTAGTAACAATTAATAGGCCTGAATTCTCGAACGAAAAGTAAAGCAGCGCAGGTCTGTGTTCGAGCAAAGTCTCCAAAAAAGGCTTCAAATGGACTTTACTTCATGACTACTGGTGACCAGCGGCCACACCACAGTGTGGCAAAACTATGGTCACGATGCAGGTCAGGAGTCTTGGCGGCTGTTGCAAACGAGGAAAGCCTGCAGGTAAGGGTGCGAAAAGGCACACCCCCCCGAAGGAAGGTCAATCCAGCACCCTTCGGCACACAAAGGTGCCAAAACGGGGTGTCTCTTGAATCTGTGAAGCACTGCGTCATTGCAAAAAGTGGTCTGCTGCTGCAAGGCCCGTGTGAAACTGGTGAAACTTTGACTCTCCTAGCATGATATCTGCACTTCTTTGTACAAAATTGGAAATGTCGGACATCAACAGCGGAAACTAAGGTTCCCCCTGGGCATCCTTCATTGCCACTCTCTACCACCCGCCGGTTAGGAACGAAGAACTGAGGCTCACGCTCCTATCGGCTCACAGCGTTGGAAATGGCGAAAAGAGGTCGTGATCCTACTTAGTGGGAGCGCATGCCGTACATTGCTGGCAGTGCACCATTCCCTCTGCTGAGCAGGGGTGGAAACCTCCTATGGAAGAGTACTCCAAAGGAAGGCTTGTTTCGTGCTCGTCTTGATCATTAGGTAGCAATGAAGCAAGCCACCAAATCATTCTATTGCTCAGCTAGTGCACGAAGGTCCAGAGGGCGCGTGTCAAAGTGTCCTGAATCTCAACTTGATGGGTGGCCTCGGAAAACAGGGAAGTGCACAGGCTCTGATGTGACAAGCGAAAGGGCATTGAGTCTCCACAGTGGCCTACCCTCTGTATGGTTGGATGTCTGCATCGATGACAGAAATGGCAGGTCCTGTGCGGGCACAGCCTCTCTCGTGCAGGGCCTCTGTAAATTCGACCCTTCGTACGCCAAGGCGCCAGGGAGCGCCTGCTTCGACCTGCCCACTTGGACTAGGCACAGGGCCTCTGTAAATTCGACCTTTCGCACGCCAAGGTGCCAGAGAGCGCCTACTTAGACCTGCCAACTAATCTCGGAGGAACAGGGCCTCTGTAAATTCGACCCTTCGCACGCCAAGGCACCAGAAGCGCCCACTTCGACCCACCCACTTGGACTTGGCACAGGGCCTCTGAAAATTCGACCTTTCGTTCGCCAAGGTGCCAGGGAGTGCCTACTTGGACCTGCCAACTTAGACCTCCGAGAGGCACAGGGTCTCGAGAAGGAGCAGGTATTGCCACAAGGGAGGACAGCAAGGCCTCAGAAGCGGACACGTCGTTCCAGTCGTGGCGCCAACTCTTGACAGTCGTCGTTCCAAAATCATGCAGTGCCCAGGTGACACATGAAAGTTTTGCGGTCTGTACACTTTGTACACAGCTGGCAGAGTTGTGACCCCACTCTCAGGACAAGGACTAAGGTTCTCGCTTGAGCTCCAGCCAATGGGTACGCAGTCGAGTTGTGGTCAGTCACTGCTCAGGTTCACGCATTTTCCATTTGGCTGTGCACAGAGGCTTACGAAGCTCCCACAAGGGTTAAGACACAATGGAAGGCTGAACTCGTTCATCGTGCTTGCGCTGTTTTTTTCCTTTGGCCCGGCTGGTTGATGAGGGTCGTCTCCTGCACTAGGGAGGAGGTTGATCCATTTCGGATGACAAATCGGTGGCACAAGTCAAAAGCAGAATTCTCGACATAGGGCCCCCTCCACGTACTGAGGAGGCCCCACCTAGAGTGTCCAGTTTTCCTGCGTCAGCAAAAGCCCCGAAACCAAGTCCGTAACTTTGCCTCTGGATCACTGGCCCAGCAACCCCATCATACTTTTCTGATCGCCTTCAAAAATCGCAGGAGCGTGTCTCCAAACTGAGCAGCTGCCCTGAGGATACCTAGTCTTCCTCACCATCACCATCAGCAGCACCGCCTCCAATGAGAACTGATTTAGAGCAAACTTCGGCCATGAGCAACACACTCAAAACCACATCCACCCGCGCGCCTTCGCCGCGATCACTCTCAGATGAAATGGCATCAGCCTCCTCCACATCATTCGCACCTGGTCTGCCAAGAGCTCCACACACGCAGAAAGCAAACAAACAGTCTAGACCTTCCCCTGCAACGCCAGCTGCAGCGCCAGCTGGCAGATTTGGAGGGGGAGCACCATGACCTGTGAAAGTGACACGCGCATAAACAGCCACAATTCCGGGGATCTTTTCACGCAAAAGACTTTCCGCGCCATCTCCACCACCAGCTGCTACCACCGCAGCTCCACCGCCTCCGAGAGTGACACGCGCATAGACAGCCACAATTCCGGGGATCTTTTCACACAGAAGACTTTCCGCGCCATCTCCACCACCAGCTGCGACCACTGCAGCTCCACCACCTCCGGACGCAAATGCCCCATGAGTGAATGCTGGGCCGTCCATCGGGCACCTGGCCTCCTGCTCCCGCTTGGTGCACCAGGAGTAACAGGTCGTCACGGCTGAGTTGCCGGGCAGCCTAGTGCGAAACAGCAGCAACTGTATTCAAATTTCGAAGATGTCCAAGCCTGCATCAGGCGGGCACGTCGTTTTTTCATATTCTTCTCCTGCTTTGCCAATGCACGGTTGGCCGCGCGCATCGCGGCCCGTCGTTGCTTCAAGTCATTCAACTCCTCCGCGAGGACCTCACCAAGGAACCAACATTTTGCGCAACAAGAAGACACCCCACACAAAGCTTAGACCGCCTCCACGCGATTCCTCTTTGGAGGCATGTCCTGATTACAAACGGAAACGGCACGCGCGTTTCAATTGCTTGGCGTTACAGTCCGGCCTCTGCGCGCGTTCCCACAAAGAAACCGTTTTGAACACACAGAGCTGTGGACAGGCGTGCATGCACTTCTCACTGTGAGGCCTAACCTAATTACTCGGCTGCGCTGTGGGCGCCCACATCAACATTGAAATGGGGAAGGGAATGGGCAGGGCGGTGTAGCATTCTTGTAGAGAAGCGCACCGCTGCACAAATCAAGAGTGTACCCAACACAAATCACGAAGAGTGCCTGTGCACTGTACCCAACACAAATCAAGAAGAGTCCCTGTGCGCAAATTGAGAAGTGTACCTGTGCACAAATCGAGAAGCGCACGGCTGCACAAATCAAGAGTGTACCATCCACAAATCAAGAAGTGTATCACTGGCAACAAAAATCGAACGCCAATAGCCGCAAAAACTGTCAAGGTGTGAGCCGCTGATTGCGGAATGGTCCGGTTCGACTGTGGTCACTGAGTTTGACATGGTCAACTTCGAACCTGGGTCTCTGTGTTCTGGATGCCGCAGTTCGCCAAATACCGCGGTCGAGTTGGGCTGCGGTCACTGAATTCGAGGTCAAGTTCCAGTGCGGGTCTCCAAATTCAGGATGGCGCGGTTCGCAAAAGATATTTGGTCATATATTTGCACACTAACATGTTCATACTCTATATGTTTGATTCACGGTTTATGTGACCAAATGTCAAAAAAGTCAGAGGGCAAGATAGCCACGTGAAAGGACAATGTGGCTCACCTTCTCCAGGACGACCAAACGGTCGCACGCAGGATGTTCTGAACAAAAATGACCAATGTGGACACTGAGTTGGAGACGGTCACGTTTGCACACCAAACTGCAAATCTTAGAGGCGCCTAAAACAGGTGTAAGGCGCATAACTATGTGCGTGAACAGCGACACACCATGTCAAAACATGGAGGAACAGCAGTTTGGCTTGCTAACACCCACAAACAGAAACACATTCGTAAAGTTGCGTCCGCCCTTTCAATGGAAGCCTGGGCTCCCCTCTCAAGCAAATGCCTATGCCTACGCGGGATGCCTACGCAGGGTACTGTCACCAACTTTAGTCACATCAGGTGACTCGAAAAGAGCTATATAATCCGCAAGTAGTGGCCTGATGCGACTGGGTCACATCAGGTTCCTGTTTATCTTTCCCCAAGACCCTTGAACAACTTTTAAAGAAGTCTGAATAAGAAAATTCAGGCTTTCATGAAAAGGGTGCCTACGCAAGACTGCCTACGCAAATCTTTCAACACCCACCTACGCAAAATGCTTACACGACGCCTACGCCCCAAGCAGAACAGCCTCCGCGACTTCTCAACAGTTCCCTTTTTGTATAAACCTAATCATTTGCCAAAAAAACGTGGCTCATATGGCCAAAGACATCCTCATCTTCCGGCTCCTGACAGATGGACTAATTCCATTGAAAGGCCGATTTCAAGTTTCAAGTTTCTGCTGCAAAATTCCATGGAATTAAATCGTAACATGTTCCACACATGGCCGCACCTGCAACATCTCATCGGAAGCTGGCAGTGGCAGCACCGCCGAAGAGGAACTGGTCAAAGAAGCACTGTTCTTACGAAGATCAGAACCGACCTCAACAAACCACATCCTCCGCTCAGTCGCCACCAAGTGTTCCTCATGCCGGGCTTCGTCGGGCAGGAACCCACGCTTGTCCCAATTGGTCGTGAAGCACCGCATGCCCGGAGGCAACATACCATCCTCGTGTCGGCAGGACGCAAACCTGCAAACGGTGTTGTCCAGCCAGGACTTGGCGTCATCAACCGAAGCAGATCGGAGGCATACATCGTCAACCAAAAGAGATGTCGTGCTTTGAAACAAACATCGCTTGACCACATCCAGCTTGTCCAAAAAATAGTAAGCACCGTGTTCCGCCAGCAGGGCGGCGCACAGAGCCGTCTTGCCACAGTTCCCAGGCCCACTGAGAACCAGTGTGCGATCCAATCGGTGTTTGTCACGCCATTCCTGGAGACCGGGAGGAATCTCGAAGTCAGCCACGCCGAACTTGGAAGTTGTATGAAGAAGTGTTGGGGGCATCTTCTCCGAATTCCAAGCGCGCAGGCACCTGGCCAGAAGCCGCTCTGGATGGATTGCTTGGCCGACAAAATTCCAAAGAAGATCGTGCCCTTTCAGTTTTTGGTCCTTGGCCAACTGAAATAATTGCTGTTCCGTTTCCACCCCAGCTTCTATGACCAGGTCCGTAAACTCCGAAAAGGACAATGACTTCCGACGCTTGGTCGGACGCTTGGAGCACTCTTCCGGTCGCTTGGACGACGCTTGCACAGCAGCTTTGACACCTTCGTTTCCATTTCGATGCAGCTGACTGTTTGAAACTCTGTCCATGATCTCTGCCGCGTGTGATGCTGTGAAACTCTCTGGCCAGAAGTATGGTTCTGGATCGATGTCTGCGCCTATCTTCTTTGCGCTTTCTCGGAGGATGTAGTGCAAATACGCGGCAAGGCCACACAAATTGAACGTCCAAAAACCTTTTGCTCCCAGCGCAGACATGTCCTGGTTCACTTTGTAGTGAGCGAACGGCCTCTGGAATTTGACTACCACATGATAGTGTTGCTCTCTACGCTCTGTTTGAGCGTCCCACTTTTTGTGGGGCTCGGATACGATGATCATTTTCTGCCTCGGCTCCACAAGCTTGGCAACAGCGCTTTGCAAGAAACCTTTCCACAAGAAAAACTGGACAATCGCATGTCTTGGAAGAATCTTGTGAGCAAAAAAACAAAACTAAATTGCAATCCAGATGCAAGTCACCTAGTAACCCCCGCTTCTGCAGAGCCGAGCGAGCCAAAGTCTGCTTATCCCAATCGATTGGCTTTAGAGTGCCCAGCTGAACTCTCATATCGAAAGTTTTCCCGTAGCATCTGGGACACGGCCACGTCCACATGCCCACCATGCCACGTTCCCCCGAACGTGCTGGCGGGGCACTTTCATCAGAGGAAGATCCCTTGGCTTCTATGAGTTCGATAGGCGTCTCATCTTCCGACGAGGAAGATGAGGAAGACGGCATTGCGCAAAATTGTGGTGAATGCTTCTGTGCAAAATGCTTTTGGCCTGGAGAAAATGCAATGTTCAAATTCCGGGCTTTATAAAGAAGAACCTTTGGCTTCTATGGTTTCAGATACGGCGCGGTGCAAACTTCTGGAGAATGCTTCTGTGCAAGATTGGCCTGGAAAAAAGGGTCGCATACGGCATGGTGCAAACTTCTGGAGAATGCTTCTGTGCAAAATCATGGTGGGCTGAAAGGAAAAAACTTAGGGAATTTTGCAAATTCCGGACGCCAAACCGTAAAGTTAAAGTTGATACAAAATCATGGTGGGCTGAAAGGAAAAAACTTAGGGAATTTTGCAAATTCCGGACGCCAAACCGTAAAGTTAAAGTTGATACAAAGTAAAATCAAGACTGTTTTGAGATCAAGCTGAAAGAAACCAACTTTAACTTTATGCTTTTGGGGCTGACGTGATGTTAAAGCCAATCTTGCCCGGCCCTGTGCCAAGTGGCAGCCTCCCCTGTGCCACATGGCTGCGGCGGCACACAGACAAGAGAAGCACGTCCGACATGAACATCCGACATAAGCACTGACGCCAAGCAGTTTACTGTTGGGATTCTATCTGAAAAAAAGAGCTGGCCACACTCACTGGGTGTGCCCCTGAACTCTGTAGCTAGGCTCTGTGGCTGGGCTCTGTGGCTGAGCTCTGTGTCCAGGCCTTGTCCTCCTCTTGTCCTCTGGGCTCTGTTCTGTGTCCAGGCCTTGTCCTTTTCTGGTCCTCTATGGCTGGGCTCTGTGTCCAGGCCTTGTCCTCGTCTTGTCACTCTATGGCTGGGTTCTGTGTCCAGGCCTTGTCCTCCTCTTGTCCTCAATTACACTGTTCACCTCCGTTCACCTCAAGAACGTGCATCTCCATTTGCGGCCTCTTATAGGCTTTCACCTGGACAAATGGCCAGAAAGGCCTTGACCTCAACGCTGTTCACCTCCACTCGTCGCCTCGCAGCCCTCAGAAACCGTCCATTTGCGGCCTCGTAGGCCTTCACCTGGACAAATGGCCAGGAAGCCTTCACCTCAACACTGTTCACCTCCATTTGTCGCCTCGCAGCCCTTGATCCACACAAGGTGGCCTCA